AATGTTGTAACACATCATTAACTATTTTATAATAAATGTTTTTAATTTTTAATTTTGCTTTCAATTTATAAAATAAAAATTAATCTTAAAGGAATTCTATTGCCAGATACTGCTGCAGGCTGCTACCTTTATTTCTCCCAACTACCGCTTTGCCACACGGTGTCGCTACAGATCTTGGCTACCAACGTGAAGTTGGCGTCAGCGGTCCATGATTATATAGTCAAAGGTACGGAGCAAATCGGGAGCATTATTTTGAGCTATTGATCGTTCAGAAATTTTTATCTTGCGGGCTAACTTCACGAGGGTGATGTTTTGATTGGTTAATTCGTCACGCGACGGATTGACGCGACGCGTGGCGCGCTCAGTGGGAACGCACCCTACTTCTTCAATTGCAATCTAGTAACAAATGATATGTATCGTTGGCAACATTGACTACAGCCTTTAAAATTGGCAACAGTGTGCATTTTGTCTTTGTCTGACATCACCTATATGAACTCTTTGGGCATCACACGTTTTTGCAGTTTGCACGTGTATGTAATCAGTTCGGCAAATGGATATAAATCTTTGAATAGAAAAATAAATTCTTTTCTTGAGTGATATTAAAAATGAGTAAAGCTAATCTTAAGGAAGCGTAAGTATTATTTTATTGCGATATATGCGCCATAAGTACATACAGCAAATTATTTTTTAAGCTCTTTCTCTTTTTAACAATTATGTTTTGTTTTAATAATTGTTCTCATGTTGTATTTACAGATTCGAAGTGGAGTGCAAGCATGGAGCGTTTTATACCGGTGGCAATATACAAGTAGGTTTTTAAAAGAATTTATTTGTGGTGTTATATATTTACAATACATCCTTTTATTGCAGTGGAATGCAAATGCAGAATACTTATTTTGCCAGAAAGGAGGCACCATATCCATACTTTCAATGAGTAAAGGCTCTGTGATATCTTCATTAGGTACAACAGAGGCTGATCAACAAGAGGATACGATAAATTGTTTTGTTCTTTGTAACAAAGATACAGGCATAATTACTCATCACAAGAGTGGACTGTTCAAATTGTGGGACTGGAAAAGTAGTTGTTCAAATTCAAATTTATATTGTCTTTGATATTCTTATTTGTGACTTATATGTTCTTCTTTATATATACATATATATATATATATATATTTTTTTTATTACAGCTAATAAGTTAACAAAACTATGGAAATCTATTCATAAAGGACCTGTAATGAGAATAGCTCTTGCAGATAATGTTTTAATGGCTTCTGGGGGGAGTGATGGATCTGTCAGATTATGGAATTTACAACATCACGCATGTACACATAATTTCAAAGGAGTTCAAGGAGTAATTAGGTAATTATATTTATATAATATATATATAAATTATTGCATATCAATGACATCATTCAGTGATATATAGTATGCCAGTATATCAATAATAGCATTCAGTGATATCATATAGTATGCCATAGTATATTGTTTTAAAATTTTGATATGTAACAATGTAATGTTTTTGATCTTCTCTGATACATTGATGATATGCAGATATGCAACAAGTCTATCTACAGCTGTATTAATCAAGGTTTTTTGATATTGAATCACGAATCAAATCAAATTGACAAAATTTTATCTGAATCTAATTAAATTGAATAGTTGAAACTGATAACTTTTAATTATATTACTTTAATTAATATAATTTAATTATATTAATTATATTTGATTACGAGATTAAATTTTAAAACAGATCAAAGATTTCAATGTAACAAAATATTGATTATATAAATTTAAGGTAAATATATATATATATATATACCTTAAATACATAATATAAACCTAATAAAATATTGTTAGTGCCACAGTAACTGAAACAATTAGACAAAAAATGATAAATTATTTATTAAAATATTCTAACTGAAAACAATATACATTTTATGTATAACTTAATATGCAGTGAGAGGCAAAGTTCTGGAATAGCTAATTATTTTAGAAAGTAATTGGTTTAATAGAAAAATGTTTTAAATAAAAATTGTAGCGTTTAAGAAAATCTATTAATTGGTGATATTTATTTGAGTTTTGGTTGACTTCGAAAAGCGCAATTAAGGTAAACATAACATAAATATCTTAAAAAAATATCTACTTTTTATTGCATATTCTTGCAGTTGAGATCGAGAACTTTTCAAAATATTATGAAGTTTTTTATATTAAGTACTTACTTTTCGAGTGATAAAACTTGAAAATTACAATACCATTGACATTTTGAGTAAAAAGATGCTACGGAAGTAACAAACTATGGGGTCCTTGTTTTTGCTGTGATATACCCACACACATACATATGAGGTGTAAATTTGGCTGGATAACTTGGAAGTGGTATTCAACCACGTGATACACGTGGATGAATAATGTTAATGTTAATGACAGCGATACTGCAAATTTCAAGTCTTATAACGCGAAAAGTACTTAATGAAAAATAACTTCGTTACAGTGTTTTGAAAATGACGTCAGCTACAAGAATATGAAATGAAAAGTAGGGGTTTCCATTTAAGATTTTTATGCTGACTTTGGCCGCTCTTTTCAAAATCATCTAAAGCTTAAATAAATATCAGCAGCTAATAGTTTTTTTCAAACCTTACAATTTGTTTGAAATATTTTTACATTATACTAATATTTTCTGAGATAATTGACCATTCTGGAACTTTTGTCCCTGTATGTATAATAATTAAAATAATACAGTTTTTTTTGTTACAATGTAGCTAATTATTTTTTTTAAATATATGTATTCAAACTTAAAATTTGACAATAGGTCCATAATGGTCATATTACGTGTCAAAATTTATATAAATCTGATAAATCATTTCTTACTTTGCCATTTTAATTATTAATGGAAAATATGATTTTATAAGATTGTCAATACATGTAATTTTCGAATCTCAGATTCAAAAACAATTTTCTTATAATTTGGATTTGAATTATAACAATTTAATTAAATCTTATTCAATTTGTATTCAAATAGTTTGCATCTCTATCTGTTTATCTTAAAATGGAACAATGTATTTTAAAATATTGCTCCGTTAATATCGATGTTTTTTTTAATTTTCATTTATTTCATTTTTTATTTAGCGTATTGGAATTTCACCCAAATAGTGAAAAGTCACTTCTGTTTGGTGCTGGTGACAACACCAAGATTTATGGTTGGGATATCACTACTGGACAGGAAAAAATTATTCTCTCTGGACACTTTAGCAAAATTACATCTCTTAACTTTCACGAAGATGGAAATTATTTAATTAGGTAATAAAGAAAGTATGAAATGTAAAAACATTCTCTCTGTAAATAAAGGTACAGTCATAGATATATCGATTGCGACACTTTTTAATAGGTTTCGCAATGCATTAACATTTTGCAAATGCGAACTACGATTGGTGTACTGTTTCTAGAATAAAGAAAGTACACCATCGTGGTTCGCATTTGCAAAATATTAGTTACCTATAAAATATATATTATATATATTAAATATATACTAAAAAGTCTACTAAACTATGAAAAAAAGTCGCAACTGATATGTCCACGACTGTACACTCTATAAATGCAATATAATGTATGCGCAGCTCGGGAAGAGACAGAGTATTGATCTTATGGGATATATCGACTGGAACATCAATACGCGTTTTACCTGTATATGAAGGAATTGAGGGAATTTTTATGATATCTGCGAAATGTCTGCCGACATTTATTACATTACGTAAAAGCGATGGTATATATGTTGCTTCGGCTGGTGAAAAAGGTATGTTAACAATTGTCAATATGGTTTTTTATTTTTATAATTATGCTTTGTTTATATTTTTACATGTGTAACAAGGTAATACGTAATTTTATATGAAAATTTTCTAGGTATTGTTAAAATTTGGGAGATGAAAACGGGCAAGCAGATTTATGCGCAAGACAATTCTTTAGTACCACCGGCAAAGGAAGAAGGAGGCTTGTCAATTACGCACTTACTTTACAACAGTATCTATAATATTTTTGCAGTAGTGTCTGTCGATCATAACATAATTATTCATTCATTGGAGTTATTCGAATGCAAAAAGCAGGTTTGGTATATTTGATATAAAATTCTGTAAAATTTATCTATATGTAGATACTAATTTTAAATTACACAAGTTGGTAGGCTACAGCGATGAAATTCTAGATGTTGCGTATATTGGAGATAATGACAGCCATATCGCACTCGCGACTAATAGTTGTGATATAAAGCTTTATGAAATTGATTCTATGAATTGTCAGTTATTGTGCGGTCATACTGACAGTGTTTTGGCTCTTGCTACAACATTGGCAAATGTAAATTTGCTTGTATCTTCAGCCAAGGTATTTATATCTTTTAATGATATATAATAACTGTATGTAATATATAATATCAGTTTATTGTTCTCAAAACAGTCACCTCAGTATCTCTTTTACTTACAATCTTCAATTCCAATTAATTTTTTGTAAACTGAGACACCCAGGGTATCGATCATGTAACTTTTTCTTTGGGACAGAAATGTGAAAAGTGAAAACGCCGACAAAATACTATTTCACTTTGTACATTTCCGCCCTAGGGAAAAAGTTACATGATTGATGCTCAGTAGATGAGAATTGAGATTAAACTTGAGGCCTTAAGCCGACTGCTCAATTGATGTACTCACATGGAGCTGTGTATCACATATATTCTAATAAAAAAAAAAAAAAAGATATTTATGATGTTATATTAGAATTATTATTTATAGGATAATAGTGTCCGCGTATGGTTATTGGATAAAGAGACAATGAGAATGTCTTGCATTGGGCATGCTGTTAAACACACAGCATCAATCAGTTCTGTTGCAATATCTCAAACATCACATAAATTCTTCACTTCTGTCGCTCAAGATTCATGCTTGAAACTGTGGCAATTACCCAATAATCTCGAATTACACGGTAAGTTAGAAAGTATATTTCTAAAATAAAATAAGTAAAAGTAAAAATTGTGTATTGGCTCGTATTAAGAACTAAATTAGAAACGAAAGGAAATAAAGGTCAATAAAACGAGCAAACAAGAGATATTAGAATGTAATAATATATTATTTAATTTATATTATGTTTTTTAATTTGACAATATTAAAGTGGGTTTTGCCATTTTGATTTGACTAATTGTAAGTCTGCTTTAGTCTAAATAAATACAAATTTTAATCAATATATTACATTATTTTAATCGGAAATTACATAATATTTTTTAAATAAAGTTGCAAATACAAATACAAATGTGCGCGCGTGTGTATGTGTGTATATATATGTATACTGACAGGGCTGAGTAAAATACATCATTAAAGTATTTGAAATATAAAATGCTAAATACTGGCATTCGTAGTATTTGAATTACAAAATATAAAATACTTTTAATCTTTCGATTAAAATACAAAATACAAAACTTTTAAGTTTTTATTTGAAATGCAAAATATTTTTTAATTTAATCTTTTAATTATAATAATATACATATAATGTTAAATTCCCCTTCCTTCCAACAGTCACCTCACTACTTTCAAAGAAAGAAAAAAAAGTTGTTTTACTCTCTTACACTCTTTAACAGTCCTATTGTTCTGTCAATCGCACGAGAAATTTATTTCTATTTATTTATGTAAGATTATGAAATTTGATTCTGATGACTTGACATTGCTTAAAACTTGACGAACATAGTTACTGTCGCTAATTACCATATGAGAAAAATTTAAGTTACTACTAATTATTGCCAAGGAATTTTTTAAATAATTTCTTTAGTATTTCAAATACAAAATAGATTAAAATTGTATTTCAAATACTGTATTTTAAATACAAGTATTTGAAATATGTTCAGCCCTGTGTATAAATAATCGTAAAAATTAGATGTATTTTCGTAAAAACACATATACATATGTAAGTATATATGTATATTTATACACTGTATGTACAGATGATCTTTGATGCTTACAGATCAAGCTTTATCATTAAATACAAGCCATACAATATTAGCACACCAAAAAGAGATAAACTGTGTAACCATCTCTCCAAATGACAAACTGATTGCTACAGCGTCGCAAGATAAAACTGCTAAGGTAATATATAAGTAATACATAAGTTTGTCTGACATGTGTGCATAAATAACTCTAAAATTATGATAATAAGAATTATATGATTATAAGAATACTTATAATTATATGACTTGAATTATATGATTATCTGTAGCTATGGTCCGCTGAAAATTTGCAATTGCTCGGCGTGTTTCATGGCCACCGGAGAGGCGTATGGTGTGTTCGATTTTCGCCGATTGATCAAGTCCTCTTAACAACATCTGCTGACTGTACTATGAAACTATGGTCTTTAACAGAACTCAATTGTCTCAAAGTAATTAAAAGGAAAAATAAATTGCCTCTTTTGATAAATTGCCTCATAGATCTAATTGTAATCTTATTGCTTTCGTTCTTATCATAGACGTTTGAAGGACACGAATCTTCCGTCTTAAGAGGAGAATTTCTATCACGCGGATTGCAACTGATTACGTCGGGTGGAGATGGTCTTCTGAAATTGTGGAATATCAAAACGTCCGAATGCATATCTACTTTGCACCAACATGAAAGCCACATTTGGACGCTGGCAGGTAAGCCTATTTAATCCATGCATGAAAATATAACCAGTATTATTAAGAATGCATACAAGGGACAGGAAAAATAATGTGAATATCTGGGAAATATACATTATTTGTTTTATTAATAATAAATTGGTCTATCATTTTTCTTAAATATAGATTTTATCCTTGTTGGAATAGTTATATATGATGCTTGAATGTAAATGTAATGCAATGCAATGTTAAAAAATTCTTTTGGTTGCTCTAATAAAACACTTCAATTACTTAATTCTTTGAAATACGGTGTATTAATATGGATACACCTCTTGAAAATAAAAAAAAATCTTTTATTTCTTTGCAATTTTATATCTAGTAGTCTTTTGAATCACTGATTTTAAATCTGAAGTATAAATTTCAAAATTTATAACGGTTGACTTAATATGACAGCTTAAAGACAGAAAAATTTTTATTTTGTATAAAATATTCTATAGCAAAAACTTTCGCCTATACATATATATATGATATATTAAATCGCGTTAATATTGAATCTCACATGTGTCTAAATTTACAAATTTTTAAAATACAAGATGGTGGGCTGAAAGTCACAAAAAGTTTAGTTGCAAAAGTTAGATTTACATTAAATTTGATACTCAAGGGTTTTTTTAGATGATTTTGAATACAATTTCGAATATGAAGTAAACATTCAATTCAATGGTGGATTCAATATTGTGGATTAACATTGCAGGAAATAAATTAATTTGTATAATAGTTAATTTCTAGATTTTTGAGATTGCTGCTTTCGAATCTGAATTAAAAAATTACAAAGTTGTAGATTTTGCTTTTGTTTACAATTAGTCAATTTATTGCATTTTACATCAGTGATTTTAAAAATCCCTTTGACTATAAAAGTCAAAGGGATACTTATAGTCAAAGAAAAATCCTCAACTATTCAGTTTCAAGTAATTGGACTTATTTTTGCATTTTCAGTGCATTACTTATATCGTATTCGCCATTTTGAATTTCGAAAATTTTCAAAATTTAACTTTATATTAGTAATCAGTGACATCAAAAACTTTCTATATACTAAGTTTCAAGGAATTCATATGAAAGAAAAAATATAATGCTTTAAAGGGTTAAAGGTAGTTGAAAGAAGAAATTTGTTTCTCAAGCCAGTAGGGCCTGATAGTTTTCTAGACACTAATACAGTGAATCATTTCATTCTTGTTGTTTAGGCCAATGTTAAATAAGGATGATTCATTGTATTACACTATGTTATCTGTGTCTCTTACTAGAAAACTTCAACTAATGTCCGTTCTTATACTTATTTACGATCTGTTAATGTCTTACATGTTATAAACCAATCATAAAGTTGTATTAGCATTTTAAGATACTACTTAAGACGGTCTTAAAATAAGAATACTATGAATACTATGAATACCGGCCTCACTCTGTTTTTCAAAACTGTAAATGATTTGATGATATTTAAATCAGACGACTGCACTGGCCAGGAAAGATATTGGAATTTTGGAGAATACAGAGGGCAACAATGAAAAGCAAATTTCTTTTTCCAATATTACTTACGAGCAATTGAAAGTTTGTGTTTAAATAATGCATTTTATTGATGACTGTTCAAGCATTGATTCCATGAGGAAAAAGATTTTATTAAAGGTATTAAAGATAAGTGGTAGACCAACCGTTTATTAATAAATAAATAATTTTCCAGATGTGTGTATTCATATTTTGTTTATTCTCTGTATATAATATAAAATTTTAACATTCTATTTCTATATTTTATGTAGTTACCAAGGATCAGAAACATATTATCAGCGGAGGTAGTGATTCATTGCTGGTCATTTGGAAAGACGTGACTGAAGAGAGAAAAGCGCGAGCCGCGTCGGAAAAAGCGCAACTTGTGCTCGAAGAGCAAAAATTGGCTAATTTAATTAAAGCTGAAGAACTTCAGGCTGCGTTACAATTGGCTCTAAAGCTGGAACGACCATTAAAAGTTCTCAAGATTATAGAAGGTATAATTATTCATACTGATATCTCATTATATCTGATGTAGCAATTGCTTAAACCTTTATAAAATATGATATATTAATATAGAATATAGATATACCATTTTAAAAATTAAAAAATTTTTTTCACTGTAATTTTTTTGCAACTTTACATGTAGTAGTCCTTTGAACCTCTTATTCTAAATCTGACAAGGGAACCTCGAGAAGTGTCAAATTCTGATTTTAATGAAACTTGGTATACTTTGAGATCACATAAATAGATGAATTTAGAAATTATCAGTTGGTGCTAAAAAACGGTTTAAAAGGATGAAACCAACCCTTATATGTAAATTAATTTTTTTTTCTTTTGTTATATCTCAAAAACTATTCAAGATATCAAAAAATGTTTTATACAAAAGTTTTACTGTAAAATTACCTCTATTTATTTACGTTAATAGAATTTTTTGAAAATGATTATAGATCGGAAGAGCACACGTCTGAACTCCAGTC